TTCCTAATAATCCTTTAGGTGAGTGTATATACAAGACAAAGTTCAGCATAGAATACGGCTGCTCTGCTGACTCACTGTACGTCTGCAGCTCATTGTACGTCTGCAGCTCACTGTACGTCTGCAGCTCACTGTACGTCTGCAGCTCATTGTACGTCTGCAGCTCACTGTACGTCTGCAGCTCACTGTACGTGCGTTATCTCCGTCAGCGTCGACACGCTGTAAACGAAGGGGCATTATCTGGGGAAAATCCCAGGAGGGGCCCTGCCCTCATACCTTTAAAGGCTAATTCAGTGAAAATAATTTATTGCTTGCTTGGGCAGAGCGATAAACATAAAGGCTGTAAAAGTCACATTAAGTGATAGCGTCAGTTGGGGGGGTAGGGTGGGGCTCTGCAGGTTGGACACGGGGCCTGTGATTGGTTACTGGGTTCAGATTCCAGAGTAAGCACAGTGATTTCACTGCGCGTGGCCCTTAAACCAGGGAATCCCGGAACTGTTCCACTAATCTATTACGTAAATGTGATTAATATGTCTTCATAACTTTATTAATCCTGGGGGAAATTCTTGTACACACAGCAGTCAAGTATGTAAAATAGAGATTAACACATAGTGAACAACAGACAGTACATATAGTACAACAGGTAAACATGGTGCAAACAGATAACCCGAATAGAATAGCCCTAAAACAGCGATTCTCAACCTGTGGGCCGCGACGCAAATTTGGGTCGCAGCAAGTTCTGAAAGGGTCGCGAGGCTGAGTTAGAAATGTAAGCTAATATGCGGATCCACTATCAGATTTTCCCAGCCCCAACCGTAGAATTAACTTATAAATGGGTGTTGGGTGTGCAAATGCTTAGCAAAAACTAGTGAACAGTCAACCAATCCAAGAAGCCAAACCACAGATGCTTAATTTAAAATTCACTGGCACATCCAATTAGATTTGTGCGATAGGCATTGATTGCTGTAAATTGCAGAGTGCATTGCGCGCTTGATCATAGCGTTAATTTAAACCTGTATTTTATACAGGGCCGTGACTGAGCTGGCAGGGTAAAGTTTGGGTTGCGGTGCAAAAAAGCTTGAGAACCACTGTCCTAAAATACAGGGTATTACAATATGTAGGAAATATTTTATATTAAGAATAAAAATGATAAATTATCAGTGGTTTGGAAAATTGAAAAGACAGATAGCACCATTTCATACTATTAAGAAGATGTGCGGGCTTATAGGCAAGGCCGGTGTGAGAGGCAGGGGGGGTGGAGCCAGGTCAGTGTGAGCTGCAAGGGGGGCAGGACCAGATCGGTATGAGCAGTGAGGGGGCGGAGCCAAGCCAGCACAAGTGGCAGGGGGTGGAGACAAGACAGTATGAGGAATGAGGGGGCGGGGCTAGGTCAGTGTGAGCAGTGAGGAGGGTAGGTCCCAGTAAATGTAGCTGGTAGATGGAGAGGCCAGCCAAAGAAGGGGCCTACATGATTATATTTACATTTCTGTCATGAATGTATGAGCTCATGTATATCGTCCTTGGAGCAGATCGCATGGCTCCAGGGCCCCTTCAGTCTGCCCTGGGGCAGTGATCAGGGACAGATGCTCCTGTGTGCTTCCCTCCCCCTCCTCCTCCCCCTCCCTCTGCATGTTTGCTGGGTACACTCGATCTGCCTCAGAACAGTGAGCCCTCTCTGTCTATCCCACCCAGTGACTCCCAGGTGGGGGGATATGGTGACTCTGTGAAAAACAGCTTTTCATTTTGTGTTATGATGTATCAGAACCCAGGCTTCTAAAAATATGAAGATGCTTCAGATCTTCAGCTTGGCATACCCCCAAAACGCCTGGAGGTATATTCTTTACTTACATCCCGTGATCTGGCTCTCACAGGCACTTGCTGGTTCCCCCCCCCCCACTATATGGACCTCAGAGGAGGTTTGGATATTTGCATATACAATATTCAGCAGACAGAGGTCATTCAGTGGAGTGAAACATGCACAATGTATGTCCTTGAGAATGATGTCGTCTTCAGCTTGGCCTCGTTCAGGAGTTACAGCTAGATATTGGGTCAGGCATGTCCATTTCCCCCCTGGGACCATTTAAACTGGCAATAATGGTTGAATATGAGTAGAGGTAGGACATTGGGAATGGGGAATTTAAGCATTTGGGTCCCATTTGTTTGGTTTGGTTTTTTAGGGACGGCCAAAAAATATATTCCCTTAGTTTACAAATTGAAACACCAACTGAGCATAAAACAATAAACAATTTATGCTTAAATCTGTGCGTGTTCTAGAGACTTCTGTCTAGCACATATGTTTTCATTAGCTGTTTATCCATTTAGAGCCCAAGCAGGCAAAAGCCTGTTCATTCTGTTCAGCTCATACAAACTGGTTGTGTCAAACAGACACTCATTTTCCCAGAGAGCGGCAATTTACTCACCAGATCAACAGGGACAGATATTTTCAGACTGTGTGTGTGTGTGTAGGGGGGGGGGGGGGTGTTAGCCAGCACTATAGGCTGAAATATACTGAAATAACGTAGGGTTATGCGGCTACGCCGTCCCTGTGCCATATAGACGGCACAGATCCTAGGCAGAGCTATAAGTCAGCCTAAAGATGAAGGGGGAGAGGCATGTAAACTCCATGCCTTCTCATGGAAAGCTTGGGGCTACGTTTCAATTACAAAGCCTCACGGTGACAGTGCTACCTGGTGGCACAGCACGTCATCCAGCACACAAAATAAATCAGGTCTGTGGAACATTACAGGCTGAAAAAAATTAAGTGCTCAGAGCAATGGCCACTAGGGGGCAGTGTCAGCGTGTACTTCCACGAAGTCAAAGCTAAGGGGCAATATAGCAGGAGTGTTTTTCTTATCTATGTTTTCGCAGAGCAGTAATAACACTGATTGTGATCAAGGATGATCACTTTTTTCACTGGTACTTGGCTCACAGAACCCCTGCTTGTCTAGTCCTGCAAAGCCTCTATTTTGTGTTTGATGTAGATATAGGTCACGGTGTGCCGATGCCTTTGTTGCTACGGAACTAGTACAAGCTGCAAAAGGAACAGAATTAAATAAATCTCAGAAGATCAAGTCCTTGGCTTTGGTGTGGCCTCCACTTGCAGCGTTGTAACGGAAGTGGGGGGTGCGGAAGTGAACAGACAGCGACCGTCAATGATCATTACAGACACACACACAGACACACGCACACACAGACACACGCACACAGATGTAGGGTATACATATCCTTTTGGGGACCGCTCATTCAGACACACACACGCACACACAGACACACACACACACACACACACAGACACACACACACGCACACACACACATACACACACATACACACACACATACACACAGACAC